CCCCAAAACCCCAAAACCCCAAAACCCCTTGCTCTTATATACATATTGATAAAGATTAAAACTTTTTAAAGGAAATAAAAATAAGTTAATTTTGTGGTAACATCTAATTCATTGGAGTTTCTTAGGAATGTGTTATTTGGTATATTCCCAAAGGCAGAGAGCACCGCTGACATGTACGTTAAGACTTCTAATGATACCGAACTGAGGTATTTCGATGCATTAATCTAAGATGTTGAGATATTACTAAGGTATTCCTTCTTTCTCCTTTCCTAGCAGCAAGATGCACTTACTAGGGAATTTGTACTCATTCAGCATCTTGCTGTTTGCAGTTTACTCAATTCCCAAAATCACATAGCCGTTTGATTTCTAGTATTCAAGATATTGATAGAGATTTTTCTCTTGAACTTCTACTATAGGTAACCACTTTTCAGATGTAACTGAAACGCCTTTGAAGTCCTCTAGCTCACAAACTGCTTTGTTATTGATCACTAAGCAAGCTGCATTCATAATCTCTGATGTTCTTGCGAGACCAGCTAGGTTTGGAACCTTGTCAATTAATGAAGCGCACATTATGATTTCATTTCTCTTTCTGTTGTCATATACTCTCTTTAGCAGCTCGTAATCGTACTATAAATAACAATTAAAATTCATGATGAAATACCTCAACTTGCTCCCATGGCAGGATCTTTCTTTAGTAATTTTGAGTGCTTTCCTCATTGAAGTTAACTTGATAGGTGCCGTTTTCCTTTCTTATCTCAAGTTCCCTAAAAATAATTGAGCTTAACGATTGATTACTTTTTCCAGAGGTCTTCTCTGTCAATAGGTTGGAAGTCTTGTTTCCTTATTTCACTAATGCCTACACTTAAAACTTCTCTCATTTTCTCAACGAATGGAACGCTCAAGAACTCTCCTTGACTGTCAATTTGTGTAGATAGGACTACATGAACACCCTTTAAATTCTCAACTACAGTTTATATCCTGTCGACTTCAATTCTTTGCTTCGCCATCAATTTCTTAACGTCTTTGTTTAGATTCAAGAAGTTCATCAAGGATTTCATTCCCTCCGGAATAAATGATCTATAGCTTTGGTTTGGATTTGCTTGAAGCTCATAAATAAAATATTGGGCCACACATCTTGCATGAGCAGAGTTTGATGTCAGGAATCCAGATAATGACTCAAATATCTTATGTTTCAACTGAATCTCGTTTACTACATTGAGTGGCTGAGTCAAAATGTATCCTGCAATTACTAAGAATGAAGAAGCGACTTGTGGTTTGATATTAGGATCTAGGAGTGTCTTAATGAACAGAGGGTTTTCAATAGATAGCTCAGGATACATCTTAGTGAATTTTATTGCAACAATCTCAATAAATTGTCTAACAGAAGATAAGTGATTCATACCTACAATTTTCCAGAATTTCTCATTGAAAAGAGCAACTATATCTCTGCCAGATTGCTGAACTCTCATTTATCTGAAACTAGGAGAATATAGAGCTGGTTCAAAGAACTCCATTAAAACGATCAAAGTCTACCAGGATCTGACCTTAACTCTATGCTTTTCGGAATAGGGCATGTCAGCCAAGATATACTTAGCCTAGAAATTGATATCTAGTAGCATCAAAGCTAACTCTTCAACAGACTCAATGAAAATGATACTATTTTGATTTAATGGATTTCCACTTAGGAAATGAACTTTATGACTTCTTAACAGTTCTTCTAGTATAATCATGGTGATAGTTCTAATGTAGGCACCTTGGTAAGTGATTTCCTCCATTGGGAGATTTTCATAGTCCTTTGCAAATATTTGTGGAATCAAGTTCTGCAGTCTGTAGAGATTAATGTCAGCATCTAGACTTCTGATCTCTCTGCAAATGGCGAAATTCATAAAGAACTACTCAAATCCTTTGATTAAATGAGGTCTATTGGAGAATATCTGCATTAAGTGGTTGAACACACTTCTGAAAATTAGCCAGTACTTATTGCCCTGGTCAAATACCTCTTGAGCCATCTTTTTGTGGAACTGCTTTACTTGCTCACTCAAGGCTGGGGAAAGCACTCTTTAGTACAATTCCATTAGATCGGCATTGAAAGTAAATTCTAAGAACTCTTGGATATTGTGCACTGAAAAATCAGTTTGCAATTCCTTAATTATTCCCCACATTTAGTAGCAAATCTACTGATACTATATGATATTTTACTCTTACTAGAATTCATCTTAGACCACCTTTTGAAGCAACAACGGAAGATAGGATAACTTTAGGACTCTAAAAAGACTGGTCAAGTACTTAGGAGTGGTACAGGATAAGAAATCAGCTGCCTTCTCAGCAATAATTGGATAGAGTACTAAGATTTCCTGCTTTATTTGAGATTCATATTGGAAGATCTGAACCAGTTCACTTAAAGTTTTCCATTGGTTGATTAGTACAGCTTAAGACATCAAACCGATTGATGTGTCATTATCAATCATGAACTTTCTTCCTTCATTGAATTCTTCACTATCATCCTCCTTTGGCTTAGGTAATTGCTTGAATTCGAGAATGTTGTGGAGAAGTGGCTTGCCAATCACAAAAATATCATCTGGAACCATGAAATATTAGATTCCTCTTCTTAGAGAGTCTCTGATACCCTTAGTGTATTGATGAGTTATCTTCTTTAGACATTAAAACAAGACGAATTGCAGTAGGAATGGGCCCCATCCAGATAGACTAGCTAGTTCCTTAGCAGAGGATATTTTTAATGTTTACTGCAGGATTTGCTTGATTATTTTCTCCACTGGGGAATTACTCTGATTCATATGAATGTGAGTCATTGAAATTGTTAATTATAAGAAATCAAGATAGTTGTCTAGCTCTGAAAACAAAGATTATATCTTCTATCTTTCTGTTGGCTAGTATTATGCCTGCTCATATTTGGTTAAAGGCATAATAAGGTTATTCTCAAGCCTATCAAAGACAATTGGGATTAGAGGAAGCAACTCTTATCTTAAAACATGTCTGAATTGATTATCCGAGTAGTTATAGATTGTTCTAAATAGAATACTTAAGTATCTAACTTTAGAGTCTAATACTTCTGGACTTAGATAAGAGCTGTTTAGAATATGAGTTAGATTCTCAAATATTGGTCTGATAGTAGCAATAAACCATTAATAATGCTAATCTTGATATCTCAAGCCAAGTGCCAGAAGAACTTTAGCTAATCCTGATATTATAAGATCAATTTCATTGCCGTACTTTGGCATTTGACTAACAATAGCTTTTATTTCAAATAGATCTTTAAGATACTGAGTGATTGTTCCATCTTGGATCCATTGTACAGCGAATAAATCCACAAATGTTATCGAAGCCTTATGTGCTTCCTTATCTTGATATGAAGTTTGGTTTGTAAAGAATTGAATTGGCATCTTGCCTATAATCTTAAGCAGAAGACTCACATTAATATCCTTGAAGGTATTCTTTTAAAGATATTGACTTGTCATTTGATATATGTATTTGTAGCAGAGATACTTGCTGCTGAATATCTGCTCTGCAAAATAAGAATTCATAACATCATACATCTCCTTTAATTCCTGGTTGCCAATGAATCCCTCGTTTTGCTTATATTCTCTTGAAATGATCTTTAGTGTGCACAAAATCAACTGTGGGTAAGTAACATGCTTGATAAATCCTTTGAAGAATGCTCTGAGGTCACCAGCTACATCAACACTCTCGTTGAAGAAATACTGTTCATAAAATTTGTTTACTAACTCATTACTTTGTGAAAACTGGGTGTAAACGTTGGTATCCTTGAAAATCAAGCCTTTATTGAGAGACTTTACAAAGATGTCGAAGATATACTCATTCATGTGAGTCGTCACATATGGTCTCTTTAAAGTAGCTTTGATGATGCATCTTCTAACTTTCAAATTAGGATGTGTTTAGATTCTTCTGTAGACTACAAGAATCCACTCTCTGAAATCTAGTAATGGATGTAGCTAAACACCGTCCTGATACTTGTCTTTGATATACTTATAGATTACTTCTGTTCTACCCCAAACAGCCTATTTACATCAATGAATATCATAATACATACTTTAGTAAGATGAGATCCAAAACTCTCTAGAGTATCATACACATCAAAGAATGTAGTCCATAATTGCTCAAATTCCTCTTTATTGATAAAGCCATTATATAGTTGTTCATTCCCAATTACTTAGAGATTGCTTTTCAAAACTGACATGCTAACTTTTCTGCAGTAATTATCTGTATCAGACAAGCCATCCTTGATTAGTCTCCAATAATACTTTTTATTAATAATTTCTGGTATAAGGTTGAAAATAGAATTCAATTCGCTTAAAATCTTAAGTCTTTCTCTAAGAGTAAAGCACTCTACTGCGGATGGACCATCAGCTTGCAATTATACCTATGATTCAGTATCAGCGAAGAGTGTTTGATAGAGCTTATTTGCATGAACAATATATATCTGTGCCTAGCCTAATTTAGATAAATTCTTTAGATAAAGACAACTGAATTGAACCAGCATCTCTAGAATATCTGTGAAGATAACTGACATTCTTCTGACTTATCTCTCTTCATCGTACTTGCTCGATGAGGCAATAGTGATTATAAAGTATTATGAGTTTTATTTGTATATTTCAAAGATAGTGTATGTGACTCCTTGAATTTAATCGAGAGTCTTCAATATAGCCTCAGTAAAGGCAAACCTCTTATCTCTAATCAAGTATTCAATAACTTTAAATACAATAGAGATTGGTGCAAACTCCTTTAAATTTAGGAATTTCCCTTAAGTGGCCTATAGATATTGACTTAACTCCAATAAGATTAGGTTAAGAAGTTGAGCAACACCTTCATCCCCTAATTTTACTAGTTATCCAATAATCTATTATGAAATCTCGAGAATAGTTTACAATGTAATATCATTCTTGAAAGAAATGTCATCTGCAGTGTCCACATCATTGATACTTTTTCTGTCTCTTATATATAGCTGGGCCTTTCTAATGATCTCAAATGAAAATGCAACTAATGAATCTGATGGTGTTGGTGAGAAAGTTCTCTGAATGTTTGATGATAAAAAGATCAAGAATAGCTCATACTCTTTCAATTACTAGTCATCCTAGGGTAATATTTCATTCACATGCTTATTAATCAGTTCAAAAATTGCGAAGTCCTAGTTATCAATGATGAATTTCTAAGTATGTTACATTAGGGATAGTGAGTGACTCACTCTTAGCAAGTGATTTGCATAACTTGATTTTATCAAGGAGAGTTATTTCTCCAGTCTCTCTTCTTGATAGCTTAGTATATAGAGTGTTAAATCTCTTTAGTATTAGGTCTAATTAGCTCATTATTAAATAATATAAAAAGGCTTTTTCATTTCTACAAGTATTAGTTTAATCCAGTCATTTGGGGTTTTGGGGTTTTGGGG